TGGGAGATGAGAGTGAGACTGAAGATGAGGAAGAGGGAAAATCAGGCAAACAAGAAACAAGGCATCCCACTCATGTTGGCGATGACAATGTGCTATGCAGTGCCATATATTTTCAACTCAGCTCTGCTCCTGAGATAAATAAGATAATAAATGAGATAAATGGGGATAACAAAAATATCTTCTTTACTTAACCAATAGGATTTTTATGAGATTCATATGGATACTGTATGTGATGTATCTATTGAGCACAACATAATATTAGCTATTGTTGTTGATGTTTAGTCGCTAAGTCATGTCCAACTCTTTTGTGACCCCATGGACTGTGGCCCACCAGGCTCCTTTGTCCATGGAATTCCCAGGCAAGAATACTGGAGTAGGTTGCCATTCACTTCTCCAGGGGATCTTCTGGACCCAGGGATCGAAGCCAGGTCTCCTGCATTGGCAGGTAGATTCTTTATTGTCTTAGCCATCAAATTGGAGCCACCACGGAAGCCCAATATTAGCTATTATTGTAGTTTAATTTAAGAACATGGCCAACGCAGTTTCTCAAGCTTCTCTCTCTTTGGTGGGAAGCGGGGTCTCATCCATATCTTGTTGGGAGCTTTAGTTTCATTAAGAGAGCAACTGAACTTATCAGAATGAAGAAACAGGCCAGGCAACATAATTTTTAACTGCACATAGTGACTCAAGCAGTATAGGTTGGAATCACAGAATAAATTCATCACCTCTAAAATGGTTTGTTCATTGCCTTTCCCACCAGATTATTTCTGTGTGATTCACTAACTACTCATTGCTCAAAAAACATTTATTTGAAATAAAGAAATGAATGAAATCTTTTCCATTTTTTTCAGAAAAAATGACTAACAGATGACTTTCAGTTTAAGTGAAAAATGAGCTTCTCCAGAGAAGAATAACCCTACAATTAGTCACCTTTATACACCTAACATTTGGCACAGAGTTGAAGCTTAATAAACCTTAAATAAACGAATAAGGGGAAGAATATAGTGTGACAACTAGTGTGTCAGATGCCACCAGTGGGTTCAAGCTGAGGGATGTGGGATCTATAAAAACTCTGGTTCATGACATCACGTAATTTTGGTTTGAGGCAAGAGACATACTCTTCAGCCTTCAACCTTAGGCCTGACCTACCAGTTGAACTATTGGCCTCACAGATAAATATCACGTCACATGCTCCTGGGAAAGTAACTTAACCTCAGGCCTCTAAGTCCATTTTATGGACACCAGAGCAGTACATCTGTTCAAGTACTCTTTGAAGGCTGCCAAAGCTTGCTTCCAAAAAGAAAGATGTCATTGTAAATACTCTTACCCATGGATGGGAAACAGAAGGTTCTGGTGAATGAGTAGAAGAGTTTCATGAATGCAAGTTACACATAGATAACCAATTTTGAGAGAATGAGAATTTTTGACTATAAACAAAAGCCCATTTTACCACTTGTTAATTCTGTAGTGTTGGAACTTCAAACTCTCTAACCATTTGTTTCTTCATTTGTAAGAGGAAGATGATAATAGCATCTCTTTCATAGAAAGAGCACCATGCGTACTTAGTACTTATATGCATACTTAGTACTTAGTGGTACTTACATGCATACTTAGTACTTAGTAGCAGCATACTTTAGCACATGCTTTATACTATTGAAATTAATCTATTCACCAGAAACTATAAAACTCCTAGAGGAGAACATAGGCAAAACACTCTCCGACATAAATCACAGCAGGATCCTCTATGACCCATATCCCAGAATATTAGAAATAAAAGCAAAAATAAACAAATGGGACCTAATGAAACTTAAAAGCTTTTGTACAACAAAGGAAACTATAAGCAAGGTGAAAAGACAGCCCTCAGACTGGGAGAAAATAATAGCAAATGAAGCAACAGACAAAGGATTAATCTCAAAAATATACAAGCAACTCCTCCAGCTCAACTCCAGAAAAATAAATGACCCAATCAAAAAATGGGCCAAAGAACTAAACAGACATTTCTCCAAGGAAGATATACAGATGGCTAAAAAACACATGAAAAGATGCTCAACATCACTCATTATCAGAGAAATGCAAATCAAAACCACAATGAGGTACCATTACACTCCAGTCAGGATGGCTGCTATCCAAAAGTCTGCAAGCAATAAATGCTGGAGAGGGTGTGGAGAAAAGGGAACCCTCTTACACTGTTGGTGGGAATGCAAACTAGTACAGCTGCTATGGAAAACAGTGTGGAGATTCCTTAAAAAACTGGAAATAGAACTGCCATATGACCCAGCAATCCCACTTCTGGGCATACACACCTGAGGAAACCAGATCTGAAAGAGACACGTGCACCCCAATGTTCATCGCAGCACTGTTTATAATAGCCAGGACATGGAAGCAACCTAGATGCCCATCAGCAGACGAATGGATGAGGAAGCTGTGGTACATATACACCATGGAATATTACTCAGCCATTAAAAAGAATTCATTTGAATCAGTTCTAACGAGATGGATGAAACTGGAGCCCATTATACAGAGTGAAGCCCATTATATATATAAGCCAGAAAGATAAAGACCATTACAGTATACTAACACATATATATGGAATTTAGAAAGATGGTAATGATAACCCTATATGCAAAACAGAAAAAGAGACACAGATGTATAGAACAGACTTTTGGACTCTGTGGGAGAAGGCGAGGGTGGGATGTTTCAAGAGAACAGCGTCGAAACATGTATATTATCTAGGGTGAAACAGATCACCAGCCCAGGTTGGATGCATGAGACAAGTGCTCGGACCTGATGCACTGGGAAGACCCAGAGGGATCGGGCGGAGAGGGAGGTGGGAGGGGGGATCGGGATGGGGAATACATGTAACTCCATGGCTGATTCTTGTCAATGTATGACAAAAACCACTACAATTTAAAAAAAAATTAATCTATTCAAAAAACTGTTTTGCTATAACTTTCAAAGGAAAGGCATCTGCTTTTCCAAAAACCACTTCAAAACAATACTGCATTTGAAAGTCACTAAGCATTCAGAGTTTTTCTACTAGTTGTAGACCTATTTCATAAAGGAGAATCACCCATACATCTGGTCCCCCGCAAGGATGAAGACCATGGAAAGTAAAAGGGAGTTAAAGTTGGGAGGCAGCCTTCTGAATGGCCTCTGCATTCAGGAGTGCTTGGAAGCTGTTCATTTGCTATTTAAGAAATAAAAAGCTTTATTAGAAGATCCAATCTGAATAATTTGTTTGAGAGTCCCAATTTCTGACCTTGAAATATATCCAAATAATGATCACTGAAATGTTTTTGTTAGTAAAATTTTTTTCCTACTGTGTTGCTAAAACTCTTTTTGTGTTCTTGTTAGCTTTTAATTTACATTTATACTTTATCAATAAAATAAGAAAAGTGAAAAGTGAAAGTATTAGCTGCTTAGTCATGTCCAACTCTTTGCGACCCCATGGACTGTAGCCTGCCAGGCTCCTCTGTTCATGGGATTCTCCAGACAAAAATACTGGAGTGGGTAGCCATTCCCTTCTCCAGGGGATCTTCCCAACCCAGGGCTTGAACCTGCATCTCCTGCATTGCTGGTGGATTCTTTACCATGATCTTTAATTCTCCAAATTGGGCCATGTTCTGATTCTACATGAATTTCTAATTGCTCTGAAGGGGAAGAAGTAAATGAAAATTACGCAAGTAGGGATGGTAGTTTAGTTTTTGGATGAGAATAGTGTATTTTAAATCACAGCACCAGGATATATGTCAGATTATTATTATAATATTTTCTTCTAAAAATTGAACTTAATCTAATAAGTATTTTAAAATAATTTTTAAAACTCTTACACAAATGTTAGAAATAGCAACCAAATTGACTTAGGATCAGATCCTGTAGAGGTTAATTATTCTCCCATCGTTACTTCTAATGTGTACTGAGGTTGCTATTCCTTTATATTTCCTATCTGTAAGAGAGAGAGATTGTATAATACTTGCAATTCACAAAATCCAGGGTTGAAAAGTGGAATTTTGAGTAAGTGCATTAGTACATTCTGAGAGCAGAACAATTTGGTTTCAGAATTTGAATGTGTCTCTTGCAGTTCTTCTGGCTTTGTTCCACCAGATACACCAGCTCCTGCTTTGCAATCATGGAAGTGAATATGCTACATCTTTCAATCCTGTGGAAACTCTTAAGAAGGAAAGTCTATCATATAAATTATTTGACCCTTGCATTGGACAATTTGTTTGGCTTTCTTCCCAATAGCAGTAAAAAAAAGATTCCATGAAAGTATTAAAAATTAATTCATCTTTTTTAGGAGAGCAAATGCAATATGTAAGCAAGAGACAAAAAATGTATTTACTAGCCTTTGACCCGCTAATTATACTTTTGGGAAGAAAACAAGCAGAGACTTCTTACATAGTAACAAATTTAAAAAGTGGAAACAAACAAAAGTTCAATAATTGGAAAATGGTTAGCTAACCCAGAATTTTAGGTTGACAAAAATATTATGCAACCGTTTAAAAGGATACGGGCAAAGACTATGACAATACATTACAAAATTTGTTTAAAATAATGCTAAATGCATTGTATGTATATATAGAGAGATTATAAAAATGCAAAAATGATGTATTTATATAACATTGAGGAGTAGAATTAAGGAGACAATGGAAGAAGTAGCTTGTTAAACTGCATATGACATTCTCTTTAGTAGATGACTTTTTGGGATAGTCTCTGAAATTATAAAAATGCTGCTGTGTCAACTTATCACTTAAATTTTCTTGCTCTTTTTCTTCTTTTTCTTGATGCATAACACAGTGATTCAATATTGTTATACATTTCAAAATGATCACCATGATATATCTAGTTACTATTCTGTCTTTTAAAAAATATAGCCATGTACTTGCATGTTTTTCTCCCATTTTATGTCCCAAAGGAAATGCTTTTTTTTTTCTCCTGATAAATATCATGAACCTTTTTATTCAATAATTGAGTTTGTTAACGGATACTCAGTTACTCACTCTTTGGCACGCCCATGAGGTTCCTTCCGCCGGAACTCATGACTACTTAGAGAAGACACACTGCCCCTCTTCTTCAGCAAATGAGCGGTTCTGTCTTTAGCAATGTCTGACATCATCATAATCTATGGAGGAAAACTTTTGTAAGATATTGAAAAAAGATCTGAAAATACTTTAGTATAACACGAGACTTATTCTAAATAAAGTACATAGATGCTTTTTTTAAACCATTTTTGAATAGGGAAGTGGGGTTTCCTTAAGAGTGATATTTAGTATATATTGTTGTTCTGGTCAGTATAACTGGAAAAATGATAACTGATAACTTTTACTTATGCAATAGCATATTTAATTCACATAAGCAGATATTACACTGCAGCAAAAATACTTAACTGCAAAAGATGTTAAAGTTACTGAGAAAAGAGAGCCATATGTACAAGAAAGATACTATCACACACCAGAAAACAATATTTTTATTGTCCCCTTTCAAATTTAATCTCAATGAAACTTGATAATTAATATTTGTTGTTTAAAAATTAAGATGAACTGCTTCTCCAAACGGTATTCCCCACAGCCAAGCAACAGTGATTTACTTCATAAAGAGCAAACAGAAATTTTCACAAAGTAATTTATTGGAAAACCTACCTCTTTTCACTAATGCTCGTGAAAAAGCTGGTAGTAGGGATGGACTTCCCAGAACTTGGACTAGAATTCTACTGCCCTATTGTCTACACACACATAATCATAGACTGTGCTAAGCAATAAATTAGGACAGAAACAATCCCTACCTTCAAAAAGGTGGCAGTTGAAATGGGTAGAGCTGACAAGAACACAACCTAGAACCCCAGTGTAATCAGCATCAGGGTAGACAGAGGCAAAGGGTACTGACAGGTACGCAAACACAGCGGAGGTCCTGTGCGTTAGGGAGAGAGGCAGTGGGATGTGTGTGTGATTGTGGACCTGTGAGATTGTGTACACGGGTGTGAGCATCTCTGTGAGCGTGTGTCTCTGTGGGCATGTACTTGTTTGTGTATGAACACGAGTGTATCCCCATGATGTGAGCCAGTGAGAGCATCTCTGTGTGTGTGCACCTGTGGGTATGATTATCTGTGTACCTGAGAGTGTGTTGCTGTGTCTGTGTGTGCACCTTTGTGTGTGACATGTCTGTGCACTGCATGTGTGTGCGTTTGTGTGTAGGAGTCTGTCTGTGTACATGAGAGTGTCTGAGCGTGTGTACGTGTGGACAAGACATACTGAGCCTATTTAAGAGGGTTGTTCGGGTTTCTTCTTAAAGTGACACACACATACCTGAGTCTGTTCACCTTTTTCCAAAGCTGCCGGGCAGGCCAGAATCCAGACCTAGAGGTCCTGAGAGGCAGAGGCTGCTGGTGTCTCCAAGCAGACCTGAGGTAGACTGCTCAGAACTCAAGTTGCTCCACAACCCAACCCGGCTGGCCAGCTCTGCACTGGGCATCACTCTAAAGCCCAGACAGGCAGGTGGGCAGGGAACCAAAGGCCAGGCAAGCTTTCCAGTTCTGAAAATTGGGGTCACTTTTCTCTAATTTCTGGGAGGGAGGAGGAATAAGGCATGGGGGAGAGAGGTCGTGGACAAGGCAGGCAGACCATTTCTTAACACTGGGCCCTCCCTCCTTAGCTCCCCCGCCCTCGAACTTGTGCTTCGGTCTCTGCTCCTGCCCAGGCGCTCTGCAGAGAGGCCGCGCTTACCTTAGGCAGGTCTGGAGCTGGAGCTGCAGGCACGGCTCAGCCCGGGGCCTCCGAGACCGCAGGCTCCTCCACTGCAGGGCGCCTGGCGAGGCTCCCGCCTCCCAGGCTTCCTTTCTGCCCGCGCACTCCCGCACTCCCACTGGACTACGCGACTTGTCTCCAAGGTGACCTTCTCAAACAGAGTCCTTGGCCCGCCCCAGGCAGGAACAGTAGTTGCGTGGTCCTCTAAGGCTGTAAGGGAGCCCCTCGTCACTGCCCGAGCGGGCTGTCCCGAGCCCGGCTATGCCGTGGGGTGGCCGCGGGCTGCGGAGGAGCCGGGTCATTCTATAGCGAGGGGGACATCGGGGACTCAAGAGGCAGGCCTGAGAGCCCTCATCACTTTCCTTTTGCAGATGTCGGGGACAGGGATAGGAAATGCCGCCGGTTCCTAGGACAGGAAATGCGAGGCACAGAGAGAAAGTAAAGCAGCCACATCCCCTCCCCCGACCCCTGACCCAGCATCCCATTGTGTGGTTGATAATAGGAATAATTACATTTACCAGGTACTGGCAAACAGCTTTAGTTTTACCCAGTCATCCCAGCAACTCTTTCAAGAAAGGGTTGTTAGTTCTTTACAGATTTAGAGAATTGAGATTCTGAGATAATAAATAATATGCCCAAGACCCCTTGGAACTCACAGGCTTATCTTTCATGCATTACAAACTTTCATACTTTTTTACACTTTCCTTAACATCATCCTCCCCAGCCCTTAAAGTTTAAGCAGACTTGAAATGGAGACTGTTTGGGATTGAGGACTTACCTGACACAAACACTGGACCGTTCTCCTTAATAACTATCCCCCTTATAACTGCAGAACCCCTCCCTCAGCACAAGGGGAAAAAACCAGACCTTGAAGGGACCCTCACAAAGTGGGCAGTCATTGGAGACAGAAATAAGATGGTGCCTCTAAGCACCTAGCCTGGTGCAGGTGCTTTGATGAGTGCCCAGTGCAGCTAGAATTGCCTGTCAATCACAATACATCTGGATAAGGATAGAGCACATAAAGGTTAGGACAGTACTGGAGAAAGAGCAGTAACATTTTCTGGCCCATCTCAATTGCTATTCACAGAAAAATAAGACCAGGAGAGGATTGTGGCTATTCACTACGTAACTGTTGCTGTGGTTGTCCAGTCAACTCTGCGACCTTGACTGCAGCAGGCCAGGCTTCCCTGTCCTTCACTGTCTCCTAGAGTTTGCTCAAATTCATGTCCACTGAGTTGGTGATGCTATCTAACCACCTCATCCTCTGCCTCCCTATTCTCCTTTTGCCTTCAATCTTTGTAATGGGAATTGTTAAGTGACTGGTAAATATTATCTCATTTAATCTGTTCAATGGCCCCAGGATGTATTAACTTTATTTAAGGAAATGAAGACTCATTGAGTAACATACTCAAGACTATAGTTATAGAGCTAAGATTTGTCCAACTCTAAAGCCCTTGCACTGTGCCCCCACTTCTGCCCACCATGTCCACCCTAAATAAGCAATGACTTTTCTAGAAATGTGGTAAAATTTTAAGAGGCTGGTAATAAAAGAGATTCACAACTCAATTTATTTTTGTTTTTCATTTATTTTCCAGAAAAATTACATTGAAATAACAATTTACTGAGATATTTGATTTTGTTCTCACATATAATTAAACTTTGTCCTGAAATGGGAACCCTAGGTGCAGTAATGTGCCATGATAAATAATTGCATATTCAGAATTTTGTGAAATGGGTGATTGGGAAAATTATGAAGGAAAAAACATTTGTAAAAATCATTATTTACAAAAAATGATACCCATGTTTTTTTCTAATGTATAAGGCAAGTAACATTAAAATGTTCTCATGATTATCTTCAAGAAGTCAGTATTACACATTCATATCACCATGGCTCATCAGAGAGCTTTGGGCAGTTCTGTGAAGGAACAAACCCATGATTCTTTTGCTGGTTTTTTCTTGAGCACAGCACAGAAGCAATAGAGATTTCATCACAGACAAAGCAGTTACGGCTATGAGAATAAAGTATTCTCTGTTGAATTACACATGTAGGAAAAAGAGCCAGTCATCAACATTTTAACTGATTTTCAAAGTATTTTGAGTATTTTAGCCCACAATTCTTTTTGTAAATGTTTTATGTTCAAGGTATTTTGTGAAAATATTTACTCCATCCAAGGTCAAAAAGACATTGTCTACTTTTGCTACAGATATTGTGGAGATCTTTAAATAAAAGCTACCACCAACTCAAAGTATACACTAATAGCATTTTCCCAAAGAAAGACAGCTGACTGAATTTTATTACTTTTAGAAATACAGCTAAATTTTTCTGAGATTCTTTTCCTAGTTTCTCTTACTGTTAAAAGTACAAAAATGCCTTACATTGCCACTTAGCAGGCACAAAAATAAAATTTGACTATTTTAGATCTTCTATGCAAAGTGAAAAAAAAGTCCTTTGTATATTGAAATCCAGTACTCTTCAAACAGTTTTAAAAGCCAGCTCTTCAAATAACTGCTTGACCTGTAGTGAAGCCCTGCTTATAGATGACAGTTACATATCATACCAACACTGGGCTTTTTCATGAAAAATTATTCAGCAGCAATGTTCCAACTCCCTTAGACCGAGAGAGAGACAGACACAAGGAGGGAGATGAAGCAGAGGTCAGTCTCTCTCATGCATATCCATTAAGAAAGCAAAAATGAAATACTGACCTGCAAAATCACAACTATAAAAATTATCATCCTATCACCTCATAAGGACAAGAAGAAACCTGACATTGGACCCTGGGACAGTGATCCCAGTGCTAGTCATTTTTTGTATCATTTAAAATATTTCAAAGTGGAGATGTATGAAAAATACTAAAGTTTGTTTTTCCAAAAGAAAAGGTCAGCGAAGAAATAAACAAGTGAACAAGTAAGATGGAATTAACATTTGCATGATATACTCATTCAATGGAATGTTTAAAAATGATAAATGGCTGATAATCCATCATGCTGATTCACACACTTTGAATTAAAAATTGAATTGTATTTAGAGAAATGTAAAGTGATTTTCTCTCTGATAACAGACAGATTACCCAGGAATTTTTAAAGAAACTTCGTTCATTAAAACAACTGATTTGCAAAACAGAGCAAAGCAAAAAGTACTATGTAATGCTCTGCTTGTAACAGAATGTAGGAGTCTTGCAAAATCTATGCTAAATAGCACATTTTCCTAGGGTTTAACTGAAATGTTTTTCATATAATTTCTAACAAGCTTATATAAAAATGCTGTGAGCATCAATTCATCATGATTCAATTTCTTAAAGCGTTTAGATAAAGTATTACCAAGGATTGTTCACAAGTATTAATTACCCTCTATAAAGAATCTGGACCATCTTCAACA